AGGTCAGATTACTTATAAATTTACTAATTAAATATAATTATTAAGATATACATTATAGTTATTTAAGATGCAAATTTTTTTAGCAGTTTAGATTTTAATAAATTCTCGTATAGCAATGAAAAATGTCATACAGTTCGAAGGAATTTGCTATGGCAGGAAATTGTTGTTTGAATAGCAGCTGATGTTAAAAGACAAATAAAAATGTTAATCTGATTTTGTAGAAGATAAATTAATTCTTGATTCATTGGTCTTTGAATTTTTGGAACAGCCTGATGTTGCCAGCATCTAAAAATAAACCATCTTCATAAATTTTAGTCTGTAGTTGCAGAACCCTTAGAAAGCATAGAAAATGTTTTGTACATGCATTGATCCTTCACTGTGCAGAAATATCTTTGATTTAGTTGATGCGCAAAATTTTCTTTATATGCATCAAAACACTGATTTCTGAAAAACTGTTAAATTATTTGGGATGTTATGCAGTATCAGGATTGATAAATATACACTGAAAAATTGGATATGAATGCTTATATCACAGAACTGTAGTATGAAACAAATTTAAATAAAACATAATTTAAACATAAATAAATTTAAATAAACTAAGGAAAAAAATTTTAGGAAGATTTTATATCTTGGAAACTGTTGCAGATTTTTAGCATTAATAGGAAAGGTGATCTCTCTTAATTTGTGTGCAAATAGTATGCACCAATTTCATGGTTCCAGTGAGCTGATTAATTACAATTTGGGGTCTTTACTTCCACTCCTTCACAATTATGCTCTTCAAGGTAGACAAAGGTATACTTTAGAAGAAGAATTTTGCCATGTAACTGCTCTTCCAAGTGTGTTTGGTAAGCCTTCTGCAGGATTCAAATCAGGAGAGTATTATTCAGAGATGGTTTATTCTCCCAGTGCCTTTGTTTTAAAAAAAATCATTAATTACATATGTGTGATGCAGATGCATGCATGTTATCATTCACATCAGGTCTAACATGCACCTCTCCAGTGCTTTGTGTGGGGTGGTAGGACTTCATGCCAATTTTTCTAGCACGGTCTTCTGTTCAACATATCTATGGATATTTATTCCATAGATGCATTTAACATCTTCTGTCTTATACCATCAAATCTGCTGGCTTTGAAACCTTTTGCCAACAGTAATTTTGAGTTTGCTATGTCTTTTTTTCTTCTTTTTTTAGGAGGAAGGTGTAACTTCTTTTTTTTTTTCTGTTACTCGATGCCCTGACCTGATTTTTCTGAGGCTAGTTTAATTTTGTTGATTTGGCCTTTTTTTGGGGGGGGGAGGGGGCACAGCTGTGCAGCTGGCTCCCTCGTTTTTGGGTGGATTGGCCAGTCCTCCTTCTAGTCATATGGCTGGCTTATGCTGGCTAGGTGGGCTGTGCCCATTATTACTAATACTGTCATGGATTTTGTATTTATGTAGCTATTTTTAGTAGAATTTTTTATTAAAATTGTTTTATATTCCCATGCAATGCAGCACGAGACTTATTTGAAGAGAAACCTACGTCAAAAAAATTAAAATACAGAAGCACCTGCATTTAACATTTTTATAAATAGATTTCTCATAATTGTACTCTTTTGCTATTCAGAAAAATCGAGAAAATACCAGAATGTCTCATGCAGGATTAAAAAGCTTGTAAAAGCCGAAGAAAAACATCTCAATTCAATTGTTTACTTAATGCTGTTATTGATTATAGCGAATTCACGGTGAGATCGGATTAGTTTTCTCAGTGTTTTGAATTGAGCTCTATTCAATGTTTTAGTAGTTTAAAATATAACTGCTCTAAGATATTGCGATATTGTATGAATATCTCTGAGGAAATTTCAGCATTTTGTTTTATTTCTTGTGATAAGAATAAATTTTATTCGCTTTTCATCGGACTTGTGTATTCAATTTATTACGAACCCGTACCCATGCAACAATACTAATACCATAAATTCTGTTGTGCTGTAACATTCATGTTGGTGAGAATATTTTGTGTTCTTGATTACCACTGCATGTTAACTCATTTAGAATCTGAAAACTGAGCCTCAATTCTTCACTTAGGAGACTATATGCTTTAGCAGTTATGTTCTTTGCATAAATTCAAGTAGTTCGCTTTTGTTGTAACATGAACCACATCCATATATTTATGAATCTGGTGCCGATAACAGAAGATACCTGCTTTTCTTATATGACCTTGTTCTGGCTTCAGAATCTTTAAATTTAGAGATAAATAACTAATTATATAATTATTTTAAATTATTCAAATTAAAAAATATTGAAACCAAAACTTTGATTGCCAAAGTTTTCAAGAAACCTTATTTTATTCAAAGTGCCTGCTGTGCATTTTACCGATATCATACCGTTGTTTGCATTCCAGAAAAGATTGATCAAATTAGGTTGGATATTGAAAATTAGGTTTATGTTTTGTTTATTCCATGAAAATGTCAGAATGTTTACTTTATAAAATATGATTATTTTTTTAAAATAATTTTTTGTACACCAGTATATTTTCTCTATTTTGCTAATTTTGATAAAAATATATTTACGGGTAGCCCTTGACAAAATTTGGCGATTTTTGGTGGTACATGGACACTGAGTTTATGCAATTTGTTGACTTGTTATTTTGGCAAGCCGAAAGTCAAAGAATTGCACAAACTGGTTATTCATGTATACATTGACCCATTTTTCACTTTAAAAAAAATCAGAGAATTGCACAAACTTGGCATTGCGCACTCCCTTGACTTTGTCCATGTACACATTGATCTACTTTCACTTAAAAAGTCAAAGAAGCAGCTAATTCTATTCTAGAGCCAAACAAAAAAATATATAATCTCAATAACTACATTTTAAATCAAACAATGAAATACAGTACAAAGTCTTTAATCTGGACTCGTCGGGACTTCGGTAATTCCAGATTAGGGGTTTTTCCAGATTATTGATCATCAATTTAAATCTGGTAAGATGCCGTGCAGAAATTATACAATTAAAAATATGAAATCATAATTTATGAAATAAAAAGCAATTATTATCTAAAGGGTATCAAAATTTACAAAAAAAAGCTTAATATTTATTTGTTTACTTTATTAAACATTTCTTTTAATGCGCACTTGCGTAAAGCATACATTACGCATAGTCGAAATTAGAAAGCTTCAACCAAAAAACTATTTGATGTGTATTCGTGATATTTATAATGACGAGGAAATTGATGTACATCGAGATGAAACACTACATTTAGTAAGGAATTTTAAGCCGAATAAAATAAAAACATCTGCCCTGAAGAATGAGGATAGTGCTGACAGATCAACTTCCAGTTCATTGCCTGCCGCAATGTCCCCCCCCCCTGCAGAGCAGCATGAAATTGATAAACAGATTTCGGAATGGTTAGAGAAACAAATCACCTCTCTGTCACTTTCTTCATGCCTTTATCCATTTTGTGCAGTAATTCCACTTTTTGTTTAATGGACATCGAAACATGCTTTCGCTTTGTAGATCCTTTGACAGCTCCAGAATTGGAAACTCTTTTTGACATTTTCGAAAGTTCAAGCTTACTTTTTATAAAATTGCTCTAAGTCTGCAAAAAATAATAAGCCGTATTCAATTAGAAGATTAAGGAACAATGCAATCTGCAACATTAACTGAAATAGATAATTAGATAATTTTAGCCTAGCTTATACCGTCCGTTATACATTTAACACACATGCGTAATGCGTTTACATATACACAGAAAGTTTGTAGCTTTGAGGTCCAGATTATAGATCATTCCGGATTATGGACGTCCGGATTAAAGACTTTATACTGAAACGTAAAAAGGAAAATTCATCTTAGTGCTACACAGAGGAAATATCCACTTACCTCATCTAGAAATTTCCGTGTCCTCAGTCAAACAAAATTTCTTAACAGCGACCAAAAACTTCCTAAAATTATCTGAACTGGAATATGTATACTGGCATCGCCACATAAATTCACAATAATAAAAGTAAAAAATATCCTCCAACGTTCGACCGTACACATTTCCTTTGTACAAACAGGACACTTACAATGGCTACTAAGTAAGCCTTCATTTACACACCAGTCAATTAATGCTTTCCCCCCTTTGATTACGAATTATACAGAAATTCAAATTAATCTTACCACATTCAACCATTTTTCCATGTAAACCACAAAATGACCCAACGTACTTCCTAACCAACATCCAAGATTTACAAATCTTTTCTCATCATTCAAATTCACCGCACTCAGGCAACCAATTACATCATAACAGGGTTTCCATAACATTCAACTACTCAGGTTACCATAAATGAAACAATAACTTAGCGATAATCCAAGGGGCACCCTTAAATATACTATAATCCTAATTTTTTTTTTTTTTAAGCATTATTTGGGTACAGTTCTGTTATTTCTTACCTGGATTCGGATCTGCTGACAATCTGGCAAAAAATTTGAAGCATAAAAATAATTGCAAAACATTTTAATTATGATAAATAAAATACAATACAGTTAAGTTGAAGAAAAATGCAAGGGAAAAATAAAAATAGATATTCATAAAATTAGAAATTTTTAAGGTAAATCAAACAACTTGCCAAAGAAAGCAGAAAAAAAAATTCATTTTATGTTTTTTTTTTTTTTTTTTTCTGTATTATTCCTTGTTCTTGAGGAAATTGTATGGAAGATATTTCATCATTAGGCAAGATTAAATTTTTAAATCCATGGTAAATACAATAATAATAAAAACACAAGGGACCATTACATCTTTGGAATTTGGAATTTCGTTGCCAATTTTGAAAGGACATTCTTTTAATTTTTCTTAAAAAAGTTGATTTTGTAACAACTTTAGAAGTAAGCATTAGTGACACCGTATGAACCAATCTTATGGCGATGACTCTGGTCCCGATAACAGAACTGTACCATTATTTGTGTATCTTAAAGCTGTCTTTACTTTCTCTAATAGATATGAATTATTATTTAATTAAGATTACTTAACTGGTGATTGTAATTGTTTCAGGTTTAATAAGTAGAAGAGAAATTAAGAAATTATCCATATATGATAACTAACACAATTACAGTAACTGTACTTTATGGCATCTTCAAAATGTTCCTCAATAATGTGTTTGGACCTAGTGTAAGTGAATTTTTAAATAAGTTGCTTTGAATGTAAAGTTTTATTTTAAAATCATGTCTATAAAAAAAGCAGATTGAAAGTATCTATGCAGAGGCAGGTTTATGGGGTCACATATAGCTGCAAGGGGCCTCTGAGGGCTAATGATTTATTAAAAAATCATAAGTATACCCTGGGTTTTAAGTTGAGGGGCTCCCAAAAGTTCAGGCGATATTGGTCACCCACTTCATAAATCAGCCACTGTATCCATGGAGCATTTTTTGAAGCAATGTCTTCTGTTTTTATCATAATTATCTTTAAATTTTGATTAATTTGAAGTAGTTAGTTAGTGTTCATGTAATATGAAAAGTAACAAATGTGTATGTTATGGAGCAAATCTTGTTTGCAGTGTACAGTATTGTAATTGTGTTTAATTTATAACATTTAATGCTTTTTAGGTTATGACGGAATGGCAAGAGGATGGCTTTGTTCTACAATGCTGAGACGGTGTTCTTCTCATCTCTTCAAAACTGTCGTTTTATTATTTGTTGTGTCATTCCTTTGGCTTCAGTTGAGAATAGTCAATCTGAAGCCAGACCTTTTTGTGTCTCACAGAAATCACTACAGTGATCCAGAATCAGCATTTTTTGCCAATTATAGTGCCATTTTAAATTCTGTCAATTCAACAACGCCATCAAATCTTCTAATGCTGCTTAGTACTATTGAAGAAATAAATGCTTTACAGACTGTGAATAATTTAGAAAAGTTTGGTCCACTTAATGAAAATGATGTAGTTATTGTGGTACAAGTGCATAACAGAGCACAATATCTGTATGCATTGATTGAGTCTTTAAGACAAGCACAAAATATTAATCAAACTCTTTTGGTTTTTAGTCATGATTTATTTGATGTTCACATCAACATTCTTATACAAAGAATTGATTTTGCTAAGGTTGGTATTTTTTTCTTCATAAAAGCATTTTATTCTGAAGTTTATCTTTCATAAAAAGTTCACAATATATTGAGTCTTAATCATACTTTCCTCCTCCTCCCTATTACTGCTTTTGGGATGCTTTTCATTAATTAAGTCATTTTTATGAAAATATAAGTTTTGTATATATGTAATTGCATCGAAAGAGAAATACATATGTGGGTTCTTGTCTTTGGCAATCACAATTCATCTTGAAGTAAAACACATTTAATGAAACATTAGTACGTATACAACATTGTTCATCTATTAATATACGTATAAAACTTCTTAATATGACATCGTTCATCTATTAACACATATATAACATCGTTCATCTCACTTACATAAATCAAAATGGTGAGCATTTCATCAATCCTACTCATGCAGTAAACAGTTAAAAATTAGATAGCATGCGAGAAAAATGTTAGGCAAAATCTTTTACATTTGTCTTATTTTTTGTACGTTATGCGGCTGTGTGTTGGAATAAATTACAATGAAAGCATTTTTTCCCCTTGCTCTTATTTTTGCAAAAATTCTTCATGTGACCAGGATTTCTGCAGTTATAGCAGTGGGTATTTGTTTTTATTTTACTTTCAAAATGGTTGCCTCTGGTTTTAGAATTAGGTTTAATGGATTTGTTTTTATCATTATCTAATTTAATTTTTTCATTAAATTTTGCCTGAAGTTCTGCCAAAGTTTTACATCCTTAAAGAATAGCTGTATTAAGTCTAGAATTGTTTTATACCATTAATAACATACTCAATTAAAGTGGCATTTTCAATATTATCTTTGGAACATAGATTTTTAATTACCAAAAAATATTCAAATAGAGATTCTTTTTCCTGCATTTTACATTTTGATAATTGTTCATGTAACTGAGCAGAGTTATATTGAACACCATGTTCATTTACTAAAAAAGCCTTAAATGCATTCCATGAATTAATTTTCATTTTGCTTTCAATGAATAATTTTGTTTTGCCAGTTAACGATCTTTTGCCCCATATCAGTTTCTGTAATTCAGTTAATTTTAAGAAATTAGATACATCCTCAAAGTTTTCAATGAATTTGTCAACCGTATTATAGACATTACCATCAAATTTAGAAATCAAACTTTCAATGTGATTAAAATTTATGTGCGTATTTGAATACAGAAATTGAACTGGAGATTTACTAGTATTTTGTTTTTCATCATGATCTTCATCAGCAGCAGCAAAAGAGAAGTGTCGGTGAAAATTTGAGCAGTTGATGTATCGATTTCACTATTAACAGAAGTATTCAGTCTTTCATCTAATATTGCTTCATATTCCTCCATTTGCTGCCTGTGATTTGATCCCGCTTCTGACACCAATTTTGTGGGTTCTTGTTTTGGGCAATCACATTTCATCTTGAAACAAAACATATTTAATGAAATATTAATACATATACAACATTGTTCATCTGTTAATACATGTAAAGCTTCTTAATATGATATCATTCATCTATTAATACATGTAAAGTTTCTTAATATGACATCGTTCATCTATTAACACATATATAACATCGTTCATCTCACTTTCATAAAACAAAATGGCGAGCACTCCATCTATCTTACTCGTGCAGTAAACAGTTAAAAATTGGATAGTGGGCAAGAAAAATGTTAGTCTATGTAGTTAGGATTCCACATATTATATATAATATATATATAATGTATAACTGATATTTTTATGCTGTTATAATGCTCAAAAAAGAGCAGCATCAGGAGTAAATTTATAAAATTAGAAATCACAAACTTCATGAAGTAACTGAGATTTAATTCAATCTGACATGCTAAGTTTGCATGTGTCATGAAGGAAATCAATTGTATTGTGGGGAGTGCACAATAGCCACCCACTCCCCCCAAAAAAGAAAGAAAGGTGTGCCAAGTAGGAATTTTTTTGGAGAAACCATGAACATTTTGTAAATTTACATAGCAATCCTCGTTTTTTAAAATCAATAAAATTCCACTATTTTTATCGTAAAATTGGCATGAATTGTTAGGGCATTTCATTGGGGAGCATTTGAAAAGTGATGGAGGAAAATATTTGGATTAAGTTAATATATATTTTTTAATAGCATACCTTGAGGTAGCACCTTTTGTAAATAAGTGTAGCTGCAATGGAAAGTTTTAGGGTGAGAAATATTTTAAATTTTGTTTTATGTCACAGTTTCGTTTTATTAATGCATTATTATAATACATCATTATAAAGTCTTTATTTTTATTGTATGAATTTTTGTAGGTCATTCAAATTTTCTACCCATATTCTATTCAGTTGCATCCAAATGAATTTCCAGGACATGATCCAAATGATTGTGCTAGGAATATGAAAAAAGAAGAGTAAGCTATGATTCATTTTTATAGTATTGAGCTTGTGAAATGAAACTGGGACTTGCATTAAACACATTTACTTAAGTTTTTCAATAGAACTTGTTTTATAGTTTGCAGTGTGTTAAATTAGCAACATTTCTCTTTTTTAATAATTATTTAAAAATAAATTTTTACTGTTTCTGTATTATTTATTTTACTGTATTTTTCATTAAAAGAAGTGAAATTTCATTTTTAATTATCAAATTTTGTAAAAAATAAAATATTAAGATATGTATGTAACTGCTACTGGAAACATTGTTGGTGCTGAAGTAAGGTGATAACGTGGCAACGAATGTCTGTCTGTGTTGCATCCATGCTCTCAACATTTGCCATTCATGCAATGTCTTGTTCTGTTATGTTCGATGCATTTTGCAAAATAGTTGAGAATGCTCTATTTCTTAAAAAAAAAAAAAAAAAAAAAAAAAATGTTTATTACTAAGGAATGTTATGGAAATGCAGCATTAAAAAGTGCAGAGCAGTGATAAGACTAGGAATATTAAATGGCTTTAAGAAAGTTAAATTTATAACAGCCATATATTTTGTTTACTTTTATTGAAAAGAATTAGCATCACTGAAATTCTGTCAGAAGAACTGGGTAGAGTATAAAACTACTATAGATTGAAAATGTTATCTTTAAGAACTTTGCTGTGTGGAATTTGAGTAGGAACTGAAATCCTTAACTAACAGAAGTTCAATTCCCTGTCAAAGTTCCCTTGGCACCAGTCAAAAATCTCTGTAGCAGTAATATGCATGTACTAAATAATCATTTTTAATTTTAATAATTAAATATAATTAGTTCTTCAAGTTAAGATGGAAATTCTGATTTCTGTTTAAAAATGCTGGTTGCAAACATGATTTTCCTTTGCTTTTAAAAATTTCTAAGTAGTAATGAATTTCCTTACATTTTTTAATATCACAATATACTATAATTCCAAAAAACGAAATAAGAGTGTGCAGATCTACTAAATGAAACTAAATATGAAATATTTCTTCTTCAGATAATTGAAAACCATCATTAAATAATGGAAAATGAATGGCAATAGATAGTTTTGAAATAAAATTAAGAATTAAAATAATTTTGAGCATGCAAAATATCATTTTTCATTTTGTTATTATGAGTTGTGTGTATCAGAAGTCATCACATTAGATTCGTTTCAGGAAAATATTCTTTTCCCTGAGATTAAATATTGTACAGTTCCTTTATGTTGATTAACCAGTTATTTTATGTTTTGGATCTTTACTATTATTTCTCCCTTCCATTTTTAGATTGTAAGACAGCATATTCTGCCTTTCGAGGCAACATTACTAGTTTGCTAGATAAGGTACATAATCTTTGGCCTTATATTATGATTGCCGATATTAAATATGCACACCAGTTAAGTTTTGTGCCAGATTTGCATTAAACTGATTTGTGTAGCCTTCAACTACAAACTTATTTGAATTTTACATTTAACTTAACTGCATTTATCTCCTCATAAGTATTTGACTGAGTAAGCACAAAGTATGCATTCTGTTATTATTTAGTGTTAAATAAAGGGTCTTTTATACCCTTCTAAAGTTTAGTTATAGTTTGTAATTGCTAACAAATATCTAAACTTTATATATTGTTGGCAGCTGTTGGTAACATACAGTTTAGCTGTAAATAATTTGCATATGCTCTTTTATATATTTATTGTAGTTTTCAAATTATTCTTAAAAACCATTCTTCAAACATGTATTGCAGTAAATAATGTAATCTATCAATTATGAAGCTGAAACAACAAAGATATTGGTTTTCAAAGCATAAGATGGTAGTACAGTGAGAATAACAGAAAATAAAACAATAAACAGCTGCAAAGGTGTGAAAAATCTGTTTTTTTCCTGTAATAAACAAGCAAATAGCAAATATTCGTGACAAAATTATGAATATTTTCAATTCACCATTGTTATCAAAAGCATATAGTATATGATCAACGGCAGAAGATATGAAAGATCTCCTATTATAGAAAAGATATGAAAGATCTGCTATTATAGAAAAGATATGAAAAATCTGTTTATTATAGAAAAAAGTTATGAATATTTGCTAATCACTCTTGTTATCAAGAGCATATAACATGATCAATGACAAAAATAGCAGTGACAAAACGCATATCAGGAATGCTTATTCACTGGATACAATACTCTTAAGCCACCCAGCATATTGAGCTTTAAATAACCTCAGAGCTAGAGATCCATTGATGTTTACGTCTAGAGGAGTGGCTATGTGAGCAAGCGTTGACCATATGAATGAGATAATGTGATCACCAATTAAACCAGTTGTTTCCCCACTTGAACCTGAATATGATGAGACACCATCCTGTGTCAGAGAATGCCATTATGAAACATATTTTGTGTCTACAACTTGGGGGGGGGTAAAGGGTGTAGATTCTCGAAGTGTTTTCTGGTAAAACCATACATTCAAGAAAAAATAACTCACTACAATCCCCATGCTTACTGTGGCATCATGCATATACATCAGAAAGTCATGGCTTTTTTGTCAGACCAAAAAACACAGTTCCTTATGGGTGCTCAATTAAAGTGAAGTGTGTTTCATCAGGCCAATATGCAGTGACGGCTTGTGTGCCTGGAGGAATGAAATTCATGTAGTAGATTAGCTACATCTTTAACTGTGGATAAAATTAATGTATACACTTGTGATCAAGAGCGCAGACACGTGTATTGTATAATTTGTATTTGAAAATAATAAGATACATGGGGTCTTGAAAATGGCATTTTTTTACCTTTTTCTTGCTTGAAAAATCTACCCAGAAAGTGTTTAATTTAGAATCATGTCGATGGATATTTCTTCATAGGGCTGTTGTGTCATTGAAAGAGAATTAGTAATGGAAATCTTCATCCTTCCTGTACTGGTTCTGGAATTGTCTGACTCCTTGCGAGATCCTTGTCCTCTGACAATCGCACCTAGTGAAAGTGGTATGGAAACATATTTATTGTTTTAGAACTTTTAGCATTGGAGCCTTGGATAGACCAGTTCATTTGCAACATGTTGGGAACGTGTCTCGTATCCTGTATTGATGACTTGATAAACCTGAGACACAACTGCAATATCCAGTGGAAGATTGCCAAATTGGTTTAGTTCGCAGATGCTATTCATGTCTTCAAACTGGGGCCAGCGTTAGCCAGAGCAGATGCTTCTGCACTTGGAGATGAAATTTTGTGTGAACAGAATTTTTACAATTTAGGCAGACATAGGGTGGCAAGATTTAGATGCTGTAGAGCATAGTGTCCAGTGCCATCTTTTGTCCGAACTTGACTTATGAAAGCTTGCTTCGAACACAAGCTATTGTGTAAGTTATGGATCCAATAAAATTAGTGTAATTAGCTTCTGCAACACTTTAACCATTCATATAATTCACAAAATCAGTACGTTGCTTTTGCAAAAATTTCGTTTTTTTTTTTTTTTTTTTTTTTTTTTTTTTTTTTTTCCATGAGATTTATAGTTATCCACTAAGAAAAGTGTTTTGCTTAATGATGTTGTTAATGAGATTTTTGGAAAAAAAAGAGGAGGAAAGTTACAAAAGATGTCACAGCTGTGGTGCTGCAGCCTCTTCTATGAAGTAGTATGAATGTTCTATGCTGGATATAAATTTGTGTGATTTCCCATTGTTTAAGAGCTGACAACTGTGTTGTTTTCTGATCTATGCACATTGTTCTAATGCATAATTCTGCTTTCCATCATGCAAAATCTCCTATCTGGGCCAGCCATCTTTGGAGTGCAGCGGACACTATGCACCAGGGCATGATTGAGAGGGCCCGACATGATCAAGAAATAAAATAATGTTCTCTTGCACATGAAAATTTGACAGTATTCCTGTCATTGTCAGTATGAAGAAAAGTACATTTATCATAAACCTTATTATTGTAGATCTCTGAACTTTGACAATCTTCAAATTAATTCCTGATGATGCAACTCTGTATTTTTTCTTATTTGATTCGGGAAACTCTTGAGGATCTCCATCTAAACTGGACTTTATAGAAAAAAATCTCAATACCATATAGCCTACATTAAGAAATGAAAATAATACATATTCCTTGTGTTTTTTTCTGGGTGTTTTTAAGTGCTAATATTTAGTAATTGCCAAGTTCATAACCACTTCCAAATTTTTAAGATAAGTGAGGCAAACAGATCTACCTTTAATGGAAACTTTTAAGTGCCAGCTGTCAAGTTCCTTTTTGGGGTCATGGGCATATTAGAAAGTAGCTGGCCCAGCAGAGAAATTATGGGATGAACTGAAGCTAAGTGACAACTTCTGCCAGGAGAAGATGACGGGGAAACCGACTGAAAAGACCTTTGATTTAGAAAGAAGTGCTAATCTAGTGAAGCCCCCTCCCATCTGTGTAGGAGGGAGAAGGAAAAAACAGGTCAGCAGAAGCCACAAAGCAGAACTTACAGAAGAGAACATATTCATTTGAGCAGGTTTGGCATCGTTCAAGTTGGAGATTACTGATCAAGAATCCGGCTAAGTGACAGAAGTCGTGGATGAGACAAAATTTGACATATTTTTAGATGAAGCAAAGTGCGTGCTAGCACATAATTTGAATATTTCAGAGCATTTTCACTGAAAACAGATTCGAAAAAGATTATATTCCAAAATAGCAAAAGGTGAAGTTATAGAAAAACCTGCTAGAGGAGTTTAGATGTTATTTTTTTAACACTGTTAACTCATTCTGTTATTGTACAAATAGAACATAGATTTAAAAGTATACCAAATATTATTTCTGATTTCAAATTAATCACTGATTAAAAAAATGTTCCAAAAACTTTGTGAAGTTTTATAACGAAGATGTAGATGAAAACCTAATCCAGGAACTTTGTTTGCTACGGGATTTGATTTTGAATGAAAGGGATGTAAATAAAACACAAGGCATATTGCAATACGCACTGAATTATAATGAGTTATTTCTGAATCTATTAACTGTGTTAAAATTTTTCTTTACATTGCCAGTTATTGTAGCAGGGGCTGTAGCAAGTGTACAACAGCTTTCTGAAATTATCATTGAGAAATACACCAGGATTTACTGTGTGGAAAGTTTTTAAGTATGATGTAATGAAAACAGTCATAAAAATATTAAACAAAGTTAGAGTACATGCAATTCAGAGACACTTGTTCAGAGCACTGACTGATGAACTAGACTGCCAGTATAGTATAGTGATCTAGTGCTTCAAACAGAAGTTCATTGGATGAATGTATTTAGTGTTTTATAGCGTTTTCAAGACTTGCTCCCTGCCTTAGTAGAATTTTTGAAAGAATGAGGCAAATCCTTTCGTGAACTAGAAGATCCAGCTTGGCTATAGAATTTTGCTTTTCTCACAGATATCACCAAAAAGTTTGGAGTTTCAAGATAGGAATAAATATATCGGCAGATGCTGAAAAGTTCTCTACTACTTGTGTCATGAAGCATTTTGTTTGTCAAGAAATGTAATGCTGCAGAGGAGTTGGAACTGACTAATTTTCAAAATGAATTTATCTATAAAATCACCTTCTTCAAGCTCTCAAAATATTTGGCCTTAAGAAAAATACCCAATTTTGGTCCGTGTTTGTCTCAGATTGAAGGCACTGTTCAGCTCTGTATGCATATCTGTATGAAATTTCTTTCTTCAGTATGAAATTTATTAAAAATAATACAGAAACAGACTCACTGATGAACATTTGAACAATTGTATTTGAATGGCAATCACTACCTGTTCTCTCAAAAAACATGATTAAAAAAACTTGATTGCAAAAAAAGAGTTCCATCCTTCTCGTTAAAGTTAATAAGTCTGAAGTCTGGTAAAATTATCTTATTACATTTGTTACTTATTACTAACTACACTTTAATTTCCTTCTTATTACAACTCAATTTCACTTTCTTTTTGTTATATACAGTATAATTAAAATTGATTTCATATATACTAGAAATGTAAGTTTATAGGCAATAAACAAATGTAACTTTTTTTAAAAAATTGGTAATTCTTTTGGTTGGTAGCTCACAGTAGGATTTAAAAATGGTACCATAACTCAGAAACTTCGTAAGTTTGTCAAACACTGATATAGACTGATTAAAATTTCAATTTTATCAGTCTATATCTGATAATTGGGTTTAATATAGCTTTTATAAAAACTTTCTACATAAAGCTGAATTAATATTTTAATGTATATGATTTGAATACCAGGTTTAAATATGTTGTTACTAAATATTTCCTGTAACTCTGTATCTTCCTTATGTTTGCATGAAATATGAGTAGTTAGATGTCAGGAGCAGCGTTTAGAGTCTTCCAAAGTAAAATGTTGAGCATATGAATCAATTATTCAAATCAGAAGTGAAAATCTTTGAAATCTGGATCATTATGACATAATTATCTTTTCTACTACTGTATCTGTGAATAACTGGGTAATTGTTATTGTTTTCCTTGTATAAGAATTATTTATTTTGTTCCTTATGTTATATGAAAGTTTGCTTATATAATTTGAGTTGTACTTCATGTCATTTATTCTAAATATTTTTAAAAGTTAAATTAATGAGTATATGTTGAAAAAATAGCAAATTAAAAATTGATATTAGAAATGTGACTAAATTATAAATTATTTATGTATCATTAATATTTTATAGTTTGTGCTCTTTATTTATTTCATCATTATTTTTAGGGCATTAAAAAAGAGCTGCAATAATGCTAAGCATCCAGATTTGTATGGTCACTACAGAGAAGCTAAATTTACACAAACAAAACACCACTGGTGGTGGAAGGTATTTATATGTTATTTGTCTTATTTTCTAATTTTTAATTATAGAGTTTAATTTGCATTAAGAATAATATGTAAGCACATGACTGACGGTTTTTGACTAAAATGTCATTATTATAAGAGCAATGTGTTTTTTATTACATGTGAATATTTTTTTTAATTATCCGATTGTGATTTATGTATTTCATGCAATGTTTAATTGAAAAAATGCACTTTGTTTATGAATTTGAACTACCTGTATATTTTATATAATAATATTTTAATATTTGGTGCATTGTGTATATATGCTTTTAGAGAAAATACAAAAATTATTTTATAAAAGCCTAAAATACTTTGTTTCTTTCAAAATATTAACTAAATGCTCAACTTTAATGCTCTTCAAATCAGAGGAAATGAATGAAAGAATTTTAAAATGAATTATGTTAATATTTCGCTATCTGAAATACATGGATCCTGTCTTTCGCCCAAAAAATTCAGATATCAGATCTAAATAATAAAGGTGTTAAAAAAATGTCTTTCTTATTTATTGCAAATTTAGCAAACTCCTAGCTAAAATATTGTATTATAATGGAATTGTTTACATCAGATGTGTAAATTAATTCATGTTCTTTCCCTCTTAAATTTCTTGTTTATTTACCAAAAACTGAAATATAGTCTTAATCTTTAAAGTATCTTCTTGCATATTTATTTCATCATCTGAGTGACATATTGAGTCTATTCTTTTTCTTCTTTTATTATCGTCATTTTTGTCCTGCCCCATTCTTCTTTGGAGAGAAAGGTTCTGAGATAATAAAGTCAGCAATACTTTTTGCAACTTCTTTGGGAATATTTTAAAGCAAATATTAACTACTTGATGTTAAATGAAGTGAAAGAAGTGTAATCTAAATGGACTATGGGTAGAAAATTACGCGAAATATATTATTCTGTAGATCCTTTGGCAGCAGTAGCTCTAGTTCAGTGGTCTTCAAATTTTGTCAATTCATGGAACCCATAGAATTATAAGATTTTTTTTGGGGGGAGCAACCCCATTCCACCCTTAGAAAAATGTAACTTAAAATATTATTTAAAATAGATCAGTATGTTATTGGTACTTTATTGTAAAGAATAGTGTTGTATTCTTTAACGTAAAAAAAAAAAAAAAAAACGAAAAAAAAAAAAAAAAAAAAAAAAAAAAAAAAAAAAAAAAAAAAAAAAAAAAAAAAAAAAAAAAAAAAAAAAAAAAAAAAAAAAAATAAAAAAAAAAAAAAAAAAAACAAAAAAAAAAAAAAAAAAAAAAAAAAAAAAAAAAAACAAAAAAAAAAAAAAAAAAAAAAAAAAAAAAAAAAAAAAAAAAAAAAAAAAAAAAAAATTAGGTAATGTAGGCATTCACATTCATAGCATTAACTCATGGTATGAATGCCTAAATTACATAAATTGGAGTGTGCTTGCTGTTTTGCACAAACTGTCTAGCTTTATAAATGTTATCTGCAGTCACATTTCATATCCACTATTTAATTTGTTTCTAAGTTTTGTTTTTGTTGCCACATATGATGAGAAAGATTTTTTTACTTAAATATGTTGTTCTGAAAGATCTTGAAATGTTTACAGCGACACGAGAAACATCTCGGTATTCTGATTGCATAGGCAACCAAAAAATTAGGATCTGCCCATGCTTAAATTTAGATTTTGATGGAAAATCTGGTGATTTGGCAATAAGTTGTTCCCTTTCCTTCATTGGCAAGCCTTCTGATTTATCATAGTACTCAAACAAATTTTTTATCCAGTCGCCCTCAAGTCGCCAAACATTTTTGGGTGAGAAACTCCACATGTTAAATATTTGCATAATCGTCTGTAGTAACGGCAACCGCCGTCAATAAAAGGTGGTGCTTTTCTTGGTAGCAGCGCAGTTCATTTTCAGTTCGAAGCAGAGCAGACCTGCCCAGAGGAGATTTGAGGGGATGATGGTTTCCAGTTCCAGTCCAGCCTGGGTTCCAGTCCAGCCTGGGTCCAGTTCCAGTCCAGCCTGGGTTCCAGTCCAGTCTGGGTTCCAGTCCAGTCCAGCTTGGGTTCCAGTTCCAGTCCAGTCCAAATTCTAGTCCAGTTCCAGCAGGCGTTTTTGAGTCCAGTTCAACTTAAATGGGGAGTTATGCCAGAGGGACAGGACGGATTTTTGTCCTTATAAGATGTGTTCTTTTCCTCAGTCGCTGAATAGCTGACAGTTCAAAGCATTCCTAGGAATTTGAATGTGTGGCTATTTTCTCACCTAAGATGTTAAGTTTGTTCATGATGTTAAGTTGTCATCATTTCGAAAATTTTAGTTGAAAAAAACCTTTAAGTTTGGTAAGGTTTGTATTCTTCAGACAATCAAGATTCGAAGTCAGATATATAAAATAGCATTAACATAGGTTTTAACGTGAAAAACCAACACCACGCTTAACTTAAAAAAAAAATCTATGAATGGCACAAATCTATGCAACGAACGAATCTATGAACTATGCACAACTCGCTTTAATAAATTAACATAACAATAATAAATTTCAAAGAATACCATGTACACAGCATCCTGTTTAAACTTTAAAAAAAAATCTACGAATTGCACAATTTAGGCAACAAACGAATCTATGAACTATGCACACCTTACTTTAATAAATTAACATAACAACAATAAATTTCAAAGAATACCATGTACACAGAGTTCTGTTTCAACTTTAAAAAACATCTACGAATTGCACAATCTAGACACTACGCACTAATGAAAAAAATAAACTAAAATAAATTTCAAACAATTCAAAAAAAAAAAAAAAAAAAAAAAAAGGGACAGAAATTCATACTAAAAAAATGAACATAACATTCTACAAAATATGAACAAGAATAAAATAAAATGCACTTACCATGAATTAATGCTTTTTCAAACAGTAGAAATACCAATTTCATACCGCCTTTAACATGCCACCACATAATCACTGTCATATTTATATTACAGCCAGACACACTATCCAGAAAATTCATACTATGGTTCACAAATAATCGCAAATCCCTACTTCTATCATGCACAGCCACTAAAAATAATCTCTCAGACCCTCTTTCCACACCTCCAAATACCCACTGCCCCTCAACAGGATGGCCATGATGATATTTCCTTTTACCGAACTTCAATTCAACAACTTCCACCATTTTATCTTTCGCCCTATCTTCTCTTACACAGAGCATGACGCGAACCAACGAGCTCCAGCGAAAGATTTTTCAACGTCAACAGGGTTGCCATACAACACGCAATCGCACCAAAAACCAGCACAGAACACATATCGCCACGTTTGGTGAGATTAGGGCGTATATCAGAGTTGTACCACTAAATGTATTTTTATATTTTTTAGTTGATAAACACTAGTCAACTAATGTGAATGCTTTATAATTTTTTCGAATTTTTATTTTGACCTGCAGAATCCCAGGGTTCTGCAGAACACAGTTCGAAGACAACTGCTCTGGAGCATACCTACCTAATTCCATTTGTTACGCTCAAAAGTAAAAGTTATTTATTGCTATTCTCTAATCTACAGTATACTGTAGATACTCTGATCTACAGTATCTTCTCCAAACCACAGCAAATCATTTTCATAACCTTAAGTACATGGGTTGGGAAATCTGATTCTGGTGGGAGAAAAGATTGAAATTAAAAATAGTTATATTATTATAGAAATTAAAAATAGTTATACATTTATTGGAGATGTGGGCATGCATCACATTACATTCAATGTGAAAAGCATCATTGAGACTCAGTTTGGTTCAACTGCTGGACACTAATCATAATCTTCAGATTTTTCACCTTCACAGCAGGGTGCACAGAGTAGTATTGCTAATATGCTTGTATGGTACTTACGTTCTGTACGAAATTTTAACTGCAGACATGGTGACAGCATGAAAGGGCTAGGCTGAAAATGATTAGTGGATACATAAATATAGTGTATAAAAAATGATATAAATTTATGTAATGATGGGCATGGCTGCAATGAAATGAAGTGTCGGGGGCTTGGCATCTGAAGTTCAGTCAACCTACTGATGCTCAAATAATGTACCGTTTTGCTTGTAGAGAAGCTCTTGTGCCAAATAATTTGGCTGTAGAATCAAAAGTTGGCATTTAATTGCATAATTGAATGTACTAAAAAGCAGATAACTTAATGGCATTTTTTGTTTTCTTTTCCTAAATTTTATGTGATGAAATAAGATTGGAGAATCAGTCTTTGTTGTTCTGCATGGAATTTCACTGGCTGTGGAGAGGGACAGCAGTGTGTGTGAGTAACTGTCAGTATTGAACTAAACTGTGAGCCTATTACTGGTTGCAAAAAATGGAATACTTAGTCAACATATTAAAATACCTAAATAAACTTGATCGAAAAATGCAAAGATCACTTGAGAGTATAACTTGCACCGACAAAATTTATAGATTGAAAAATAAAATTAAATTTAAGGAAGACAGGATGAAAAGTGGTTCTTTCAAAATGCTTAGTTTAGTTTTGAAATCCTGAAAGAAAGTGCAGAACTTTTAGATCAGTACCTATGTATGTTTGACAGCAAGCATTTTGAAACGAAATTTCATTGGGTTCAAATTCCATTTGCTTCTTCATTAAATCGTATGATATTCCATTTAAGTTAAAGAAAAGTAGAAGTTAAATTTGGGAAATGATTCTACTCTTGAAGTTGTTTTTAAGAATTTTCCTTTATCTCAATTCTAATTCTGGGTAACTGCAAGTGAAATTCAGCTATTTGGGCTTGTTTCTGTGAATACAACTCACTTGGCTTCTTGACATAAAGGCTGTGATCACAGAAATAGACCTAAGTATCTCACTGAAATAAAATATGTATCTTAACTGAAATAAAATATGTGTATCACTGAAATAAAATGATAATATATGTATTAACTGTGGCAAAAGAAAAATTGCAGGTATTCATATTTATACTTAAAATGTTTATTTTTGTCATTAGATTATTAATAGCAGTACATTTACACATTGCCAATAATTCTTTTCTGTATAATTAATTTTACTTTTCTCTTTTCATATTATGATTTTATAAGTGTTCTCAAAGTGCTAATCACAGTTTTACTCAGTCAAATCTGACAACTGTGATATAAAAACACAACTCATAAATGCAATGTAAAAACTATATCAAATACCAGTTACTAAAAACGCATGCATTAGGTATTTTCATTCTATTAATTTTGTTTATTTTTTGCTTATGGCTGTATAAGAAGTCTTACCTGAGATGAATGTCTAGATGGAATGCTTATGCATTTTAATGCAAAAGTATTTAAAAGATGTTATTAATTCAACACCTAGTCTGAAATAAAAGAAATTAACTATATTAGTAGAAAGATTTTCTTTGATAATGTGCCATGATATTTATGAGGTGCACCATGAAATTATTTATGCTTTGAGGTGTGCAGTACACATAAATATGAGTATACTGCTATGAGTACACATAAATATGTTTGTGTGCAAAGTATTTCTCGGTTTTCAGTGCTGTATTTTCCTAGTGTCAAACTTAATTGGCTGTACTCCCTCTGCAGAATTCATCTTATTCTTTGAATGAATTACATATAAGTTTTGATGTCATTTTGCCCCCACTGTGGTGTGCAACTGGAATGCGAGCTGAGCTCGTTGAGGACCACGAGTAGGTTAATTGAAAATATTGGAAGCTGCAGCTAGAGTGACTGTAATTAGGATCGCCCTTTTTTTTTGGTTAAAAATTAATATTTGATTTCGGTATGAGCAAAGTTTTGTACTCAATGTATGTATATATACAGTCAAAAGTCGTTAATTCGGACACCCATAATCCAGACGTCAAAGCTACAAACTTTCTACGCATGCACGTAAGACCTTTACGGCTGTGAATATGCATGTGCTCAAAATACGTTTACGAATGCACCTTTAATGTATAACGGACGGTATAAGCTAAGCTAAAATTATCTAATTCAGTTAATGTTGCAGATTGCGTTGTTCCTTAATCTTCGAATTGGATTTGGATCATTATTTTTTGCAGACTGTTAGAGCAATTTTATAAAAGTAAGCTTGAACTTTCGATTATGTCAAATAGAATTTCTGATATATATTTATTAATATGTAAAGGATCTACAAGCGAAAGTATGTTTCGAAGTACATTAAACAAAAAGTGGAATTGCTGCAAAAAATGGATAAAGGCATATCCTTTGTTTATCTAAACTTTAACGTTTGTTTATCTTCAACGCCGCGGCGCCCAATGAATTGGAAGTTGATCTGTCAGCACTATCCTTATCTTCAGGGCAGATGTTTTTATTTTATTTGGCTTATAATTCCTTACTAAATGCAGTATTTCATCTCGATGTACTCCGTCTTTCATATGATTTAAATCAAATTCCTCATCATTATAATTCGCTTCAATAGCGAAGAAAGTGACAGAGGTTATTGAAAATGAAAAAATTTCGATTGACAAATTAGTCGGTATTCTCGACACAGCAATTATAGGACTTGAACAGCGGAACTTTGTAACTGAACAAGAAATTATGTCTGTTTATAGAATTAAAGATAATGTATTATCACATAAAAAACGAAGCAACTTAAACAACTTAACATTGAAAGAAATGTTTAATAAAGATTAAGCTTTTTTTTTTTTTTTTTTTTTTTTGTAAATTTTGATACCTTTTAGATCATAATTGTTCTTTATTTCATAAATTACAGTTTCATATTTTTAATTTTATAATTTCTGCATGCCATCTTACCAGATTTAAACTGATGCTCGATAATCCGGAATCGCCGAAGTCCCGACGAGTCTGGATTAACGACTTTTGACTGTATATATCTGTCTTATGCATTAATTGCTGAACTTGGTAAAGAGCTGTAAATTTATGAAATAATTTAATACTTTAAGGTAAATCACCTGATGGATGGATTGCACATCACAAATGGGCATATAGGCCCTGTTCTTTTACTGGAAGAAGATCATTATGTTGCACCTGATTTTCTTTATATACTTAGGATGATGGATAACCTTAAAATAACGTAAGTACTTTAAATACTACTATTATATGTTTTTTACTTATGTCTTGGAAGTATACCTTTCCTCCCCCTCTAAAATAACACAAGGATTGTTGCTAAACAACAATTGAAATTGCATGTGACAGCCTGATTTTGTAGTTCATTTGAAAAGCAAGGGTAAAATACATATACCATACTGCCCTCATATCTAAAGGTAAGACTTACCAAAGGGAAACCATAGGTAAGACCTTACCATTGTGAACACTATAATAAATGTCATTCAAATGATTTATGTAAGCATAATCTAGTTTAATAGATAAATTATAAATAGTTACATTACTAGCATTAGATAAAAATATAATGTATATCACACTGTATACTGTGATACTAAATAAAATACTTCAACTATGCCTTCTTTCTGTCAGATAAATGTGGAAGGGGTTTGGTTATATTTTCTAATTCTTAGATAATGACAGAGCGGTATCTGTATCGTAAGAATTAATGCTTTGTTTTTAGAGCTAACAGAAATATAACAGAAATAATCACTCTTTTTCCAGCATATGTAGGTATGGAAACAAGGTACAATTAGTCTAATACTGTCTGATCATAGATGCCATGATCATGCATTATCCTATATATAGGAATGTGAGCTAAGATGAGAGCGCACTAGAGTAAGGTGACCAGACGTCCCGATTTTTAACAGTTTGTTCCCCGTCCCGAGACGTTTTAAGAAAGTCCCGATTTTGGGGAAGAATGCTCGTCAAGCTAGGGAATGGCGGGAGAACGGATAGGAATATACGGCTATTTCGCCAGTATATGAGTTATATTATTTTTATTAATTTTATAATATCAAACTTTAATAATAACAATTTATTGTTGAGAACTGATTATCGAGAACTGCTTAACAAAGTTAGCATTCTTTATCAGTTATTAGAATTCACCACCATTGTTTGGATTTAAAGAACAATGGCATTTCATTGGCATTGGCAACGAAGAAAGCATTTTGTAACTGTCTCTCATACGGTACACATCATACTGCGTGCTCGTGCTAGTTAAACAAGTGATGCCAACAAATCAGCTATTCAGATAATTAGGTAATTTATTTATTTAATTCATAAATACATAAATTTTCATGAATTTAGCAGACAGTACTCGTATTATTTATATTTTACAGTGGCAGCAAAAAGTCTAGCACTGGCCTTGGAAGTGACACTTATATTATGGCTAGAAAGAAATATAGGATTAAAATTTAAATTTTTAAAATACAGTTACTTTATAACAATGAAATTAATTTAATTCATAGATTAACAATAAAATATGTTCCTATAAGTATATACCTACTTACTGAGTTTTTAAGCTGTATGTGTATAAAAATTTCATAACATTGAATTTTTTTTTTTTTTTTTTTTAGATTTTTAACTAATGAGTAAGAAAAGAGGATACAAATTCAACAATGATCTAAGAAGTGAATTTCCTTTGATTAAAAAAAAAAAAAGCTGTCGAAAGAATTTTGAAAGTATATGATCCTTTGAAATCCTACTTTCTATCACAGGATAAATATCCTAGAATTTTAGAAGAGTTTTCTGAAAAAGAATCGTCTAAAATTTGGCTAGAAGTTTTACACAATCAAGCAACTCTTTTTCAAAATACTATAAAACATATTGAAGTTGACAAAATTTTGGTAATCAAAGTAACAAATAAAGTTAGAAATTTAAAATTTAAATGTCAAGAACGGTTAGAAAATAATTTTCTTCCATTAACTGTCCATAATAGTATAAGCCAGCTAGAAGAACTATGTGCAATAAATCGTGCATATATCTTGAATCACGTTAATAAGTTCTCTAGTAACTGCCTAGATTATTTAGAAGAGTGGATGGTACATTACAATGATATTGAACATATTCATTGGGTTACATTAAAACAAGAACTTAATTGGAATGTGCAAAAATCATTCGATCATATTACTCAAAATTTTCCGTATAGTAATATTTCTTGAAAGGATTTTTTTAATTAGATATCATTATTAAAAATATATTGATAAGGAAAAGTTTAAATCTTGAACATCAGTGAAAATCACAGAGAACAAATGGTTAGAAATATTTCATCATTGAACAAACCATGTTTCATGTAATAATCCACTAAAAACTGTGGAATACGCGCTGTTCTTACCAAGAACTATGCTGCGATTGAGCACTTTTTTTCTATGATAAATAAAGTGCAGACATCAGAAAAATCACAATTAAGTGTTGAGGCTTTGAAAGCCATTTTATGTGTGAAATATAATTTAATAAATTCTTGTGAAAAATTTCATGACCTTTCAAGCAACAGCAGCAATCTACTAAAACAAATTCACTCAAATGAGAAATATGTCAAAGCAAAAATAATAGGTTAATTGGAATCAGTGTTTCTAGATACTTTTATAACCTTCGTGCTTCAGTCTGGGCACTAGGCAGACTATATCATATGCATTTGAATGAATCCTTCATGTGCAGTATCCAGAAAGTGGTAAAGGTGAACTGATCTGCAAACAATGTGAATTTTGCATTGCATATTATCTGAGTTTTATATTGTTGATGTCAGTTAAACTGGCCTTTTAGCTTGGGTGCATTTCGTGTACTTCCCTAAATTTTAATGTTAATTGTACAAAGCTTGTAATGGACAGTTTTGTAAAAAATGGTGAGTTTGGGAGTGTTGAATTCTGCCTTAATTTGGGTAATTATCATTTTAGACATTTTTGTTACAAATATTTTTTTAACTCTGACATACTTTTCATGACATACTTTTTCAGGTAACTTCTTACTCTGGCAATTATTCTAAATAATTTTTTGAAGTTCTTCACTTTTCTAAGTACATGGACATGATATTGGATACTTTGGCCCTCGTTATATCAAAAAGATCAGCTATACCAGTTATAGAAGTACAAACAATTTGTCTCATTTTGTAATCCATTATATCTTGAATTTTTATGTACTGTAATTCTCACAGTCTGAAATTAGTACTTGTTCAGGTTAAAACTCCATGCCAAACAAATATTAATTTAGAAGTCAAACAATAAAAATCAACATGAAAATTTGAAAATATAATGCTGATTTTTGTTGTTCGACTTCTAAATTAATACCTGTGATAGTCTTGAAAACAGACTTCACTCTATGCTGATACTGATCAAATTTGAAATCATTCTGGGTTCTTAGCTGGAAGTTGGTTTAGGTTAGGTTAGGTTAGATTATTTGATTTTGGCTAAGCTCACAAGTGCTGCCTACCTAAGGCATGGCATGGCTCTGTAGTGGAATTTTTTAAGCAAAATCGGCTCGTATTCATGTTATACGTGGGGTAAATCATGAAAACCAAGATTGCAGCCAGCCCATTTGTCTGGGTTTAAACAACCAGCATTCATAGGTCTTAACCATTCAGCCACTGGTTGAATATTGGCTTGGAAGTATGCTACTGAGGAGTATTGTATTTGTCAAGCATTTCAGTTTCATTATCATTGTGTATCAGTTTCATTATGTATAAATTTTAAGATACAAATAAAAAAAAAGTCTTGTAAAAGCATACTTACCATTATTCTATCAAACAAGTTAGGTGGGGAAATTTCATAGAAAAATGTCTGCAGTGTACATGAGAAAACAATTTTATTGCTAAAACATACTAATGCAGGAAAGCCAGCTTGGCATCAAGCAAATGTTGCTATTTTTTTTAACACTCTTTTCATCTCTGCATCTCCATAGGAGAGACTGCTATTATAGATTTAGACTGACCAACATTCAAGTGTTTTATAGTATTGTGATTTGCAGAAAAGTAACAAAATAAAAATTTTTACTAAATTGATAGGTTGAATGGGATGCAGCAATAAAACACTCTTGTTCCTTCAGAATGGAACATATGGTATATGAAGGCATACTTGTACAAGTATTTTTTATGTTTCTGCTAATAATTAGTATAGAAATTTGTTATGAACTTTTGTTCTTGAGATAGTGTAATATTCTTTTTGCATTAATCTGTTAGTCTTAGTTGTGTGATAAATTTCTAAATGTGGAGAATATCAAGAAAATTTTAAACTCACTTTCATAATTTTATCATCTAGGAAGTGCCCACAATGTAATATCTTGTGTTTAGGAACATATGTAAAGTCCTATAATTATGCTGCTTTTAGCAAAAAAGTAAGTATCTTGTATTCATTCTTAAAGTGTTGTGCTTGTGGTATAAGTTGTATAAGTTTTTTTTTTAATTGTGATTGTCATTTTAATTTAGTGTGAAATAGTGCAAGGCACTTGCATATTATAATTATTCAAGTGTAAAGTCAGATTTCATGGTTATAGTATTTAACTTCTCAGGAATGCATGAAGACATCTTCTGCTTCTTATATTTTGTGTTCTGTCTCTAGTTTTATTTTGTTTGTGTCATTTTATGATGATCTTATTTTTAAGAATTAAGGGTTTTGTATCTCAGAACTTTAAGCCTTTGTAGAATTTACTAGTACCTTAAGAAATGTTTTAAATATGAAATTGACATTTGATAATCATTTTTGATAATCATGAAAGAAGTTATAGTCTAAATAAAAGTTATAGAAAGTCATAGAATATAGTCATAGAAATCACTCATAAGTACTACCTGTGTAAGATTTTATCTTTTCAACAATTATTAACAGAATTTTATTTCAGATAGAAATTGTAAAATGGCTGTCTAGCAAGCATAATATGGGAATGGTGATAAACAGAACATTATGGGAGCAAATTAAAAAATGTGCCAAGGTAAATAAATGTATTGTAATTTGCTAAACAAGCACTGAATATTGTTTCCTTTTTATTTTTCAGAGCAAAATAATCAGATACCTAGGGCGTCATACTTTTTGTATTAAAAGACATCATCTAAGCCTTGCTTTTTGTGTAATCAAGTACATGTAGTAATATTATTCATAATTTAATAGTATTTAATTTTCTTTTATTATTCTTGTAGCTGATCTCATTAAAATGTAAGTAAAAATACTTTTACATAAAGTAAATGGCTTGTGCAAAGGCACATAGGTATAGTTTAATTTAGAAACAGTTGCATATATTTTACTCCAAATCAGAGGAAGGCGAAAGCTTTTCACAAAAATGACTTTGAATTTTCTTCTTAGGACAACACCCTTTCTCTTTTATGTTATTGTTTATTTAAAGATCACAAATTTCATATTAAAGGCAAACACAAACCACAACTTTCTGTGAGAGAAAGCTTCTTTCAGCATCTAAAATTCTTAAATTTGATTTAACTTGTGCACCTGTATGAGCTTATAATTTATATTCAATCTGATTTAATTAATTAAGAAAATTTATAATTTAATGCTCATCATGCACATTTTTTTAAATAATTTTAACCTATGATATTTTTCATGTTTCATATATGAATTACTTGAATTGTTCAGTAGGGATTTAATAATTTTTATGAAAAAGTTAATACATTTTTAAAAAGTACACTGTGTTACATTTAAAATATAAAGTATGGTTTAAGTATTTTAGAAAGGAGAGCTGGTTAATATTCTGAGTTCTTCCATCTGAATTTTTAATTGCTTCCGGTAATATCTAGTTTTATATATCATGTGGATATAAGATTTAAATGCAAATGATAACTTTTTATGCCTTGTTATTGCTGAAATGTTCAGTGACTCACATGTTTTGCAATATCTAGTATTAATTAAAGAAGGATTATAGGTTAAAACAGTCGAATTTATAAAGATTTTTGTTGCTAAAATGTTTACTGAATAGATGAGAGTAAAATTTACACATTTTACAGACATTATTACAATAGTAAATATTTCCTAATTCCTGTAACTGTGGAAATATAGAAACTCCTAATTCATATAAGTATGGGAAATATAAAAACTTTGAAGTTTTAACTGAACAAGCTCTGTATGGTATTACCTATTCTTCACAAGAATGAGTTAGCAGTTACAAACTATGAAATTTAATTTTTTTTTTTTTTTTTTTTTTTTTTTTTAAGTATGGTCCTTGAATTCATCTGAAATTCTAACCACAGAGAATAGAGATGTAAATCAAGTTCTCATCACTGGTACAAATGCATACTGTGAAGGTCGTAAAATTGTGGTAGTTGGACGTTTAGTTGGAGAGAGGTTGTAAAAAAATTTTAATTTTTCATTTTTGTGCAAGCAGTTCCTAAAACCACCAGTTTGTCTTAACTCAGTTTGTTGTAATATTGTCAGATGCAATGTTTTTGTAAATACAAATGGGGGTCTAGTATTTATAGTTCAGAAGATAAAGCCAGGATAAATATTTTCTACAGCACATGTTGTGAGAAAACATTCTAAGTAAATTGGTGGAGGAAAAAGGGTAATTATAATATTGGTGAAAATAACCTGGATGCTTTCAATTAGAAAATTAATTCATTTTGCTTTCCTTGATCTCGAGTGCATAGAAATTCAGTTTATTCACTTTGATCAAGCCCTTCCTTTTCTCAATATTTTATTTTTGGCTGAGCCATTAAAAATCATTGACCAGAACACTGGTTGTTTAATATGTAGTTCAATTCCTCATAAAAATGGGTAGTTGTAGGAACATTTTTATGGTTTTACCCACCGTGAATGTGTTCCAATAAGTAAGTTTTAAGATTAATTAAAACATCACTCTTACAGCAGATAATCATCATATGGATTAAGGTATTTAAATAAATGTAACCTTTCATGCCATTTAACTACACAAAATGAATATAGTGTAACCATATCATATCAACATATTTAATTTACATTATTTCATTTTTCTAGTTTTCATGCTCTCAGTATTTCTTTATTACAATGCATATTTAATCAGTATCTTAATTACGAGGGCTATTCAGAAAATAACATATGTTTCGCTGCTGTGCGGCGAGAGATTATGCTAGCATCCTCATCTTAGTGTCAGAGTGTCCACTGAATCCTTACGCATCTGGTTGTTATCGTTGGCGGCACATATTGCCTGTGCTTTGTTCACTGTGAATATTTAAAATATGTGCGGCAATAGAAAATTCCACCCGTTGTGAAGTGCGATTAGATTTTTGTTTGCAAAAAACTAAGACCAGTTGAAATTTATTGGGAACTTAGTACGGTGTATTGAAACAACGTAATGGGCAAAGCCAGAGTGAAACGATAGTGCATTGGCCACACAAATTTTCACGAGGAAGCACGAACTCGAAGAGAAAATCAATGAAAAGATTCACGAAATACACCACTTCACAGTTTCAGAGCTCTCATTAGAGATTCCTCAAATTTCATGAACTTTGTTGTTTGGTGTTGTGTCTAGGCTATCACAAGTTTTGTGACAGATGGGTACCAAAACTCTTGTCACAAGACCACAAAAAGCAGCACATTGCAGCAACTGTGACATTTCTTGAGGCTTACCACGAACAGTGAATCGCTTCTCGATCATGTTGTAACAGGAGACAAGAGTAAAGTTGGGTAAAGTTCATCATTTGTGTGTGTCAGGTTTGCAACACAGCGCTTTGACAATGATGAGGAACTGTATGTAGGCATCCGTGCTATTTATGTGGAGATTATGTAGAAAAATAGCTGAATAATGTGCCTTTTAAATGTAAGTAATAAAAATGTTTATTTTCATTTGTTATTTTTTTTATTCTAAAACGTAAGTTTTCTGAATAGCCTACGTATTTAGAAACTGGAGCTCTTGATGGATTTCGTCCCTGATCAAGTTATTAACACTGCCAATAGATCAAAATGATTTTTTTTCCCTGATTGATAGAAATATGTATTAATCATTAAAAGTTCTAGAAATAAGAAAATTTCAACTTCAAGGAGAAATAGCATTTTTTTCATTCGAAAATATTATAACAATCTGCTTCTCTACGTTGCGGCGCGCAATGAATCGGAAGTTGATCTGTCAGCACTATCCTTATCTTCAGGGCAGATGTTTTTATTTTATTTGGCTTATAATTCCTTACTAAATGTAGTATTTCATCTTGATGTACTCCATCTTTGATATAATTTAAATCAAATTCCTCATCATTATAATTTCGCTTCTAATAGTGAAGAAAGTGACACAGAATCTATTGAAAACGAAAACATTTCGATTGACAAATTAGTCGGTATTCTCGACACAGCAATTATAGGACTTGAATAGCGGAACTTTGTAACTGAACAAGAAATTATGTCTGTTTATAGAATTAAAGAGAAAGTATTATCAGATAAAACGAAGCAACTTGACCAACTTACATTGAAAATGTTTAATAAAGTAAACAAATAAATATTAAGCATTTTTTTTTTTTGTAAATTTTGATACCCTTTAGATCATAATTCTTTATTTCATAAATTACGGTTTCATATTTTTAATTTTATAATTTCTGCATGCCATCTTACCAGATTTAAACTGATGATCTATAATCTGGAAAAATCGGTAATCCGGAATCACCGAAGTCCCGACGAGTCCGTATTAAAGACTTTTGACTATATATATATATATATATTAGGAAAGTTGAATTTAGATCAATAAGGGATGGGGTCTTTGGTCCAGGTACCCTGGTGTCTACACTGATCCCCCCTTCATGAGATGTCATACAACTTGTGGATCGAAACGTCCATACAGATTCTTGTTCATCATGGTGGGATGAAACATTTAATTTGTAAATCCTGCATTTGATCTTCATTGTCATTCTTTTGATGTCTAATGCTGCATTACATTGATTTCATCCACAAATGTTGTATTGAAGGTTCCACTGCCAAAGTCTTGACCTCCCATTGCAAAATATATCAAGATTACTTATTGTGGAAGCTTTATATCCTACCCTTATGTTGTTGGCCGTGATTACATAGATTTGTTAGATTGCACCACAGAGTCATTATGTTCCTCATTGTTTCCCAGCAATGACATTTTTGGATTCACAAATAATCCACCAAATCCTCTTCCACATTAAAAGCACGTTTTAACCACATTAAAGCACTCATTATAACTTTTGTGTGTTTGTGCCACCAGGCAAAAGAAAGGTAATGCAGTGATGCCATATTATGCCACGGAGAAGCAAAGATTATTACTTTTTTTAAATATTTTTACAGTATGCCCTTTTGTGACAAATGTAATTTTTCTCTATGTAACTATGTTATGTACAATGTAAAGGGACCTTCAAGCTACTGTTTGTATGAGAATGACATATTTCATATCTTTCTAACAGAAGATAATTCAATGATCTAAATAATATAACTGGAGAAAAACTAAATAAATATGTTTTCTTTTATTGTAAAACTTATGGTATAAATGATAAGTTATCTTGATGTATGTATTAAGTGTTAAGCTGTATATATACAGCCTAACACTTAATACAAATTTAATATATATATATATATATATATATATATATATATAATGAATATGGTTTTAGAAGAGCTCTTAGAGAGCATAACATTACCATATATGTGATCTAATATGGTAAATTTTCTGCACATGTTCATTTGTTTTCATCAGCTTTTTAAAAAAATCTGTAAAAAAACAAAAAAACAAAAAACAAAAAAAAAAAAAAAAAAAAAAAAAAAAAAAAAAAAAAACCACCTGTTGGTAGTTTTAGTCACATTTTTTGTTTTTGGCTTAGGTTTTATAAATTTTTATATGATATGCTGTTCTTTCTAGATATCACTTTTCTGTTTTATTTTAAATAAATAGGCATTTTGCTCCTTTGATGATTATAATTGGGACTGGTCCTTACAGCATGTCAGTTCAACTCGTTTACCCTCCCCGTTAACTGCCATGGTAGCCATTGCTCCTCGAGTCTTTCATATTGGAGAATGGTAAGAATGTTTACACACATCTATTCAAGCTTCTGAACATTGTTAGAAATTTAATTTTGAAGTACTTTTCTATAATAACTATGTTCTCTCCATGGCTTGCTTTTCCTTATATGGCTTATTTATACACATGATTTTTTAACTATATTTTAGGTACAAAAAGCTAAATGTTTTAAGTATTACTATTAAATTCATTGTTAAAATGATAAGGATTATCATGATGATAACCAGTAACTTGAATTTTTATGATTAAGCAAGGCAGTAATTGGAGCAGTGTTAAACTTTATTTACTAGTTTAACAGAAAAGAGTATATGAATCCTGTTTGTGGAATCAGTATTACACTTTTTTCTGAGAATATTCAAGGAATCTGAGGACTTTTTTAACCCTCTTTTTTGCCACCAACTTCTTGAGGACTTTCATATTGAAGATGAAGTACTGCCATTTGACAGAGATATTACAGACATGCACCTATGCCCAGTGATATGGCAGTCACTCAGCCAACACTGTCTGTTACAACATTCAGGATGGCCACCAAACATCCACTCAATGCATGCCCGTAATTTATAGTAATAAAGTACTTAGTTAAAATAACAACTAACATGAAATCATTACATTAAATTACTGAACTCAACAGCCAACTTTATTGAAATAGTGAAGAAAATTAAGTGAGTTTGTGAATTTGAAAATTGCTGATCTCCAGTTTTTAATGCCTCATTACTTAAGAGTTAAATATTATATTTTATGATGTTAACAAGCGATTTCTATATTATGTACACAAATTGTGGATCATGCCACTTAAAATTTATTTTTACTAAAGCGTTCTATAAAAACAGACAAACTGCTGAAAGTAGAAGCAATAACGATTTAAAATTTTTGCAGTGCATCCCAAATGCATTTTTCCCCAATTATGTGAAGAGTTTAATCAGAGGATTAACACTGTTCTTTATAGCATTTAGAGAAGATTCTTATAAAATATGTATAATTTAGAGGATGTCTTTTAATTTCATGTATTTTTAAGCTGTTTTCGAAGTTCTCAAATTCATCTATGGAATATCAGTTTTAAGAAATTCGATGTATGTGATTTAAATGGGGCGAGAAGATCAAAAGAAAAATTTTGAAGTTTATTTAATGCAGAATGTATTCAGAAAATTATTGAACAGTCAGCTGTTCATATTTTTTTTTTTTTTTTTTATAAAAACAAGCCATTACTAAGAAAAATCTGAAATAGCTCCATCCCAGTTAATTTGGATAAATGGACTTCTACTTTAATAATTCATATCTATAATATTAGAGAATAAATGAAATGTTTTAATTAAACTTATTCATTAATGCTTTCAACTTAAATCGGTTGTATAGTTAAAAAAATTAATAATTTTCAGTTACCTGTAAAATTGCCTGCTGTGCAGTTATCATCTTAATGAAAATTTTCTTTCCTACAGTGGAGTGCACCATAGAGGAAAAGATTGTAGCAGTGACCGTGTTGTACACAAAGTCATGCGAGTTCTTCTGTCCTCCAATCATCATCTTTTCCCATCAACTCTCACAGTTCACCAAAGTTTCAGGAAACCATTTAAAGCACCTAAGGGCAATGGTGGCTGGGGTGATATAAGAGATCATAATTTATGTTGCAGTCAAGTGAAAAATTCAAGCATTGACTGTAGCTAGATAATAGAATCATCTAGTCTATGTGCAATCATTCCTTCACAACTTGTATATTTCCTATTTTATTATCCAAGATGCATTTACAAGTGCTAAAATTTGGATAAAATTAAAGGTTTTGTAAGTATTCTATGTTGAAGAAGTTTATTTTGATATTTTTTATATTTACCATAGATTTTAAAATATATTTAGAGCAAAACATGTTAATTTAGATTAATTATAATTACTGCTAGATTAATTTCTCTTCTACATATCTTCCTTATCAACATATTTAACAAAAACCATATTATTTGAAAATTAAGTTTTATACCCATGTTTATAGGCTTATGGAAGGTTCAAAGTTAAGTAATGAAAGTCTCAGGTGCCTTTTGATCTATAATTCTGTCAGTATGAAACAATTAAGAAAATATTTTCTATTTTTTTATACATAAATATGACATCTTGGAAATCCATTCATTTGTGAATTTACACTATAAAATGTAAAAATATGCATATTTTATATATATATATATATGTGTGTGTGTGTGTGGCACATCAAATCACTTGTATCATTGGCAAACCTTTTGCTAGTTCAGAATCACCTAAAAGCACTGTGTCTTCCAATAGAGAAACTAAAGAATAATTACACTCACTGAAGTCAAGTAACGTGAAATTTACGTGAAAGTTCCTGAATTACATTAATAATAGCAAATCCTTTGTAATCATAGATGGTACACACATGCATAGTATAAACTTGATGAAAAATAATCCCTCCCAAATTTGCAACACCCATCAGTGTGTAGTACAATGTGCTTTAAGTATTAATCCATACAGCAATGCAATACACAACAGGAATATTCTGTGTGAGTAAGTGCTGTAGAAGACATTTTTCCATTCATAATAGTTGAGCAAGATATAAAAGGATACATCTATTTAATACACTGTGTACATCAATATACTATATGATATCAGTATACCATAAAGAAATGATAGTTGATGCTAGAAAACTAGTTGGTTTTTATTGCAAAAATTACAAATCTGTTAGAGAAAGTTTTAAAAAAAGTGTCTGGTTTTCCATTTTCAATGTTGCAACCGTTCAAAGAAGAAAAGTTATAAATGTGAAGCAACAGCTGTCTACTAAATCTTACTGTGCTAGATTAGTTTTTATAACCTAGTGAAAGTGCTACAAAGTATTCAGGTAGAAGAGTAGATATAACAGTTTTTCCTGAAATTGGGAAAAGGGTGATTAGATCAGCTAGCTGGATATGGTAAGAAAAGCACAGGTTCTTTATAGATCTGGGATTAAACAAATTTTGTAGATGAGAGAGCATTTTATAGAATTATTAAAATTTTCAAGAGGGGCCTAAATAGGAAGGCCTTTTTTATGCAAAATTACTTTGTTTTATATGACTATAAATTATTTTAAATGTTCAGCTAGTTTTGATTTAAGTTTTGCTATTTTAACTTTTGAATGCCTGATGCAAATTTTTTCTAGATGTTGTCTACCTTTTTTGTCACTGGACAAACAGTCTAATATTTTCAGTATTTCATTGTAATTCTTTAAGGATATTATTTCCTTCAAATTTATCAGTGCATTCTTGTTTATTTTTGCAATTAGAGCATTCAGGGATATTTTCGCTGTCACATTTAATTTATTACTGACATTTTCATAATTCACCGCAAAATGAATTTACATTCAGACTTTATTCATGTAGTCTTCTAAAAGCACTCTGCATTATTTTCTTGCCACCACCTTATTGATGTTTTATTTTCTGTACATGGTAAATTTACTTTTGACATAACAAAAGACCTTATATTTAATCATTAATCATTATATATAACAATCTAGTCATTATATCTTATCTCGTTCATTTGTGCTTTTGCAGCTGAGGATGGTGGTTCAGTAAAACCATCGAAACTAGTCCTGTGAAATGCTGATTCTTGTTGTTTGACTTAACAAAATTAATATTTGTTTGGCATGTTATTGTATCTTAATTATAACAATGGATTTTAACAAATTCTTTTACGGCAACCCAAGCAAGTAATTTTTTGTCATTTTCATTAATCACTGTATAGAAAATGTATGCTGTAAATTCTTATGTTCTCTGATGTATCTATGCTTTTGTGAAAAGCAGACTGTCCTTTGGGAAAACATGAAGTACAATATCCCTCCCTACCTTTCTCATTTCCATGAATCTTATGGTACTAAAAAATAAGTGTGAAGAAAAAAAGCATAAATAAATAAGTGTGAAGAAATTGTTACAGTACAAGAAGACATGTTACATATACAGTACTTTACAACACATAACTTGGAAAACTGACTAAAACTACAAATTCAAAATTTTATAAATATTTAAATTACTAGAAAACAAATAGCTATGATTAAAATAAATTTGTCATACCCACATCAATAAAATATTGTTTTACCATAGAATAGAACTACAGTTATGAAATGTGCAAAATCAGAACGGATGCAGCTATGACACCAGACTGCTTCAAGTCCCTCTATGAGGATCATGCCAGTGAAGGTTCACTTAAAGGAATGAACTAACCCTTCTCATTAACCTTGGGGGGGGCAAATCACGAAAATGCCCATGCAGTCAGCCTGTCCGAGTGGAACTGGTTGTGACTACCAGTGTTCATCGATTTTACTGCTTGACCACTAATGGGCCTGTAGGGTTTGGAGAAAAGGGTATAAAAACAACATTTCATCAAAGGCTAATTAAAAACTGGAATACGAGGAGACTTATGCTTTTACAAAAGTAGTTGGCAAAGAATAGGAAAAATATATTTAAAAGATGTAACAAAATTATTTTAATGTAATCCTTTTTTTTAATCAATGTAAATCATGTATCAATGTAAAAAAAAGTATGATAGAATTTATTTCTCACTTGATAGAGCTGATTGATATAGAATTTTTTATTCAAAATACATTGCTGTTTTGCTGAACCTTTAAAGTTTGTGAAAACGGTATATATGCAAAATCGCTTTCTGCAAATTTCCACGTTTGACTGGATTAACTGTATTACTACTGTCATCACAATCTATTCCTAAGTTTATTACAGTTTTTTTAAATATGAACTCTTTTATTGCTTTTCAGTTCGAATGAAAAATATTTCTAATGATAATGCATTTAAATATCAAAAATTTGAATGCATGCAGTTTTATTTAGATTCTTCTTGCTCTTCCTTTAGTAAGCCAAATTGTAATAGTTTTATAGTCCAAAATAAACGTTATAAAAATGAAATACCTCTCTTCCATCGTAGTGAGAAATTTTAATCTTTGTGAGCAACTTGAACAAAATTTGCGAAGTGTGATTTGTTCATAATGGTACGATACAAATACCATTCATTTATCTGTATAGTAAAAATATTTTATGTCCATAATTCATAAGCAAAAATTGTCTATGAAAAAGTGAATATAATAGTTTGAAAATTCATTAAAAAACTGATATAATAAAACTAAAAAGAACTAAAAAGAATCCAATCTAAAAAATGGGATTATGTAGACAGCTTTTAATTTTTTAGTTTTTATTTCATCATATATCCCATGATGCTCCAATAGCGTTGCATATTGTCAGAAAAACAGAAGAGAAATGCATCACTGACAATGAACTGGATTCCATTAAAATAATTAAATGATAATTACAGACTTTGTCAGTAGACGAAGGTTTAAAAATTAAATGCAGACGGTAGCAATTAATGAAACTGTGAAGAATGAAAGCACCTCCAGATTAGAGTCCTCTCTATTCTGAAGTAACTGAAGAAATATAACTGGTTAAATTTATAACTTTTATAATCTAAAATATAATTAGGGGATAATATACTATCTATATTGTTCCCCAGTTATAATTGTTTTAGAACTAAGTGATTATTTGTAACTACGAGACAATATACTATTATCCTATAGTGTTAATAATAGCACACACTGTTATTAGCACTCTGGGAAACGTTTCAGTGGGATGTGGGTACAAAAAAAGCTTAAGCAAAAATGTATCTCAAACCTAAAAAGAATATTACTTAAGAATTTTTGAGCTGTTTTCATTCCCAAAAATTCATTGTCAACCTAAAGTTGGAGCACTAATGAAGAACACCTGAAATATGTATTACAACACGGTATCCAAGATAGGCCTCATTTTTCTGAATTTGCACATACAGAAAAACTGACGATTTACATTTGATCTTTTAGCTTCTCAAAATCATCGCAAAGGAAAAAAAATTCATTATAACAGGCCTCAAGAAAAATCTGTATATGTTCTTAAATATAGTCCAAAATCATTCTTGAAGAAATTTCTAATGCCCAATTTCTTGGTTTCTATGTACCAAGCATTAACAATTCAAAAAATGCTTTTTAGTGTTAATGCATTCAATTTAAATTTCAGCATAACATAAATTGAATAAAAAATTAAGTTTAATCAAAAGTAGTAAGTCATCACATTTATTACATTCAGATAATTACATAAAAGCATAAATAAATAAGTGTGAAGAAATTGTTATTCAGCTCTGTTCTGATTATTGTTCACAAACATTTTCTGAAAGTTTTAAAAATCAGAAGACCTTCTTTTGGCTCTTGTTATATTAAATAACTATCTATGAAAGAACACAAGTTTTAATACATAGATCTGGGTTTGCTTTTAAGAATTCAACATTATTTAGCACAGCATGTTAACCAATATATACATTAAACAGCACCTATTGTACAGGGTGTCTCACTCGAAAGAGGCCCTGGGAAAAGTGATAAAAATCTTGTAATAAAAAGAAAAAAATCTTATAATAAAAAGAAACAAAACCAAATTTTTACATGACATATCTTTATGTTTGAAAAATGGAAGTACATTAGAAGAGATGCTGGATGTGATCTCCACTTACCTATACACACAGTTAAACATTGCGCTGCATGTTCATGTTATGTTGCTTGCCAGTGCATTGGGTGTCACTCCTTGCATTTCATGACGGATATTCTGATGCAAATTGTCAATGTGCATGGGTTGTACTTGTACACATTATCTTTAAGACGATCCCACAAGAAAAAAACTCAAGCAAGATCAAGTCTGGAAAAGTGGAGAAAAATGATTCCACCACAAACATATTCACTACAGATATGTGGCATGTTGTCCCATCTTGCTGGTAAGCCAAGTGTCAGCTTCTCATC